TCCCAATGGATCCAGTGCATTTTGTTGGCTAGTTCTATATTGACAGGTAAGAGTCTACTGTCAATATATGCAAGATCTCGGCGGGTTTCGTGTATGCGTTCCCGTAAAAGAGCTCGTTCCACCCGGTTGTAGATATTATTGGCCTGGTTGGTTCTGAAGTATCTCTTCATCATCAAGAAAGTTGGAATGATCCTCTTTTCACGGCATCGTAGGAAAACAGCATGTGCGGGGAAGCGTTGGAACCCCAACCATCCCACACGCATGAGCACACACGGCTGGGCGGCATAAATACGACTGGGAATCCAGCAGTTGAATCATTCTTAGTCGGAAAGCACGGAATTTTTGCAAAATCCTTTTCATTAATAAGCGAGATGTTAAAGAGTTTAAGTCTGTATGCCACCTAATTAAGTTAAAAAACGCCTAAAAACCCTATACCTTCTCGTGTACATTATAGTAAAGTTTACGCCATAATCGATTGTTTAGAAATTTAAATTCAGAAGCCGGAAGAACCAGTCAAACAAGCTCTTACATGGTCAGATTACAAGAAAGCTAATACCATAAAGTATCAGTCAAGTATCGTCAAACCCAGATGGCATAATAAATTATATTAATATTTTATCTACAACTATAACGATTATTATCATCAGAATCATTGTCAAAGTTGTGTCTTGAAATTACAAATTTTATAATGAGTTCAAGCGATGGTCTGCCATGTGTTATTGAGAACAAACGATAATAATTTTAAAAAGCACTAGTGCGGTAATAAACATCATTATCACATTTAAAGAGTGCCAAATCATAGTCATTATATAAATAGACACTATTTGTACCCGTTTATTAATACTGATATTAAAATAAAATTTTGACACAATTTGAGCTTCACAAAGTTTTTTAGCTTCAAAATGCAAGAATATCAGGTAAATAATTTGCCATTCTTGTTTAATCAGTATTCACTTACAATTAAAATAGTATTCACGCAAACAATAGGAAGAGGAACAAGGGCTAAACATTATCATCGCAAATGTATGTTGCCTTTATTATGATTAGCATTSTTATAAAATGTAGTATTTTAAACATCAGTGAATGCATTGGACWRTTTTAAGCATGAAACTGCACTTTAAAATATGACTTAAACTTAACATTTTTATTAAGAATATTCATATTTARTCAAATCGGCAGCTTTTTCCCCAATCATCATTGTGGGTGTGCTGGTGTGACCTGATATKGGTWGGGGAATCACTCCAGCGTCMACCACTCGAAGATTGTCGATTCCATGAACTTTGAGTGTTRWACTYACYRCGGAGTTTTGCGTATCRTTTCCCATTCTAGTAGCTCCTACTGGATGAAAACCCTGAAARTAACGGAAAAATCWTTAATGCCGTTTTTTGCCARGTAATTCAGTAGTAACTGGAACATTTCCGATATATTTAATGCCCAAAGGTTGGAAAATGTMTTCGTTYCTTTATTGCCACAATTRATAATGTTAAATTCAACAATARTGTTGTTTTACATTTTGAGCTATTTTTGAGGTAATCATGAAACCACTGTTTTRAAATTGTATCGCATGCATSAAATTATTACACAACTTRAATTTACTTACGATAATTGAAAGGTATTGAATGCTGCAGATCCACCAGTCCTTTGAAAGTTTCTCATAATCCGCATCACAGTCTGGAAGATCTAAAATGATCGGCTCGATTCCCAAGCGTTGAAATGCTGTTGTGTTTTGTAAATTTTTAGCTATTTCAACCGCCTTGCAGACCGTTTCTAAATCGTCGGAATTAGAAAAATAATTGAAGAATAATTGAAAGATTGTGATGTTTGTTGTTAAATATGCATTTGTATAAAGGTTTTTCTTGTTTCAAAACTTACATTTCTCCGTAAGTGGGGCCGTTAACTGGAGGGCCTGTAATCAAAATTTCAATATCGGAACCTTCACTAGTATTTCCATTAACATTGTAGAACGCTATTACTTGCGTTGCACTTCCGGGGATGAGTGGACGCTTATTGTGGTACCATAAGTCCAAATAGTCCAGCAAGGTATCGTTGTAAAATGTGGAGTTTGTTCTGAAAAACATTGATATTCTTGTACCTA